ATGAAGAAGACGAAGCTGCCGATGTATCTGCTGAAATTAGACTCTTCGGCACCGAGCCTACAGCGCAAATACAGTGGCTCGATGGTGATAGCAACCCTGGACCCCTCGAATCAGGCGCTAGCACCCCGATTGAAGGGCTGTCACATTACTTGAAACGAGCTGTGGGCGTTTTAGAGAGCTCTTCCAACAAAACTCTGACAATTGTGCTGGCCAATACCCAGGAAGCCACGGATTTCACGTTGGAAGTTTCGGCTGTGTATCATTTGGTGTCTGATATTCAGACCCCGATTATGAAGAACATCACCGTGGATCTATCATTTATTCGACCGTTTGAAGCAAACTATGAATTCTTGCCGGCAATCCACCCTCAGCCATGGCCCAATTTCTTCGCAGTCAGCGATAACTTACTCGAGGATGGCTCTGCGCCAACACCTGGAGGCTTGTTCCAGAGGTGGTGTCTCAATTCTAAGGTAGTTTCCTTTGCACTGGAGCCGCTTGTAATTGACAAGATGTCTCTTATTCTCCTCGAAGTCAACGGGGGAGCCATTTGCGAGGTTCACTCGGAAGAGCTTGTCAGTCCAGAAACGCCCCATCTTGCACCAGAAGAACTGCGAGAATCCAACTTTAGCCTTGATGTTCAGAAACTTCTTCTCGGTGACCGTCGACCAACTGCGCTCACCTGCGCATTGGAGGTCAATTGGCGTCGGCAGTCGTCTGAATCTACGGCTTCTTCGGACGCAGAGAACTCGGTCACAACCACCGTCCTCGATATCCCCCGATTTATCGTCCCGATGGGCGAGCCTCGAGTCCTTGCATCAGCTACCCCATCTAGCAATATGGCAGGGTTGATTCATATGAACTATGTACTGGAGAACTCCTCCACCCACTTCCTCACCTTCAACCTGGTCATGGAAGCCAGCGAGCACTTTGCCTTTAGCGGGCCGAAGACCACCGTTTTGCAGCTTGTGCCACTGAGTCGCCACACAGTGAGCTTTAATATTTTTGCAGCGAAGCGTGGTTTATGGGTTCAGCCCCAGCTGGTGGTTATTGATACCTACTTCAACAAAACACTCCGTGTCCTTCCAACAGGGGATATGAAGTCGGACAAGAAGGGAGTACTTGTATGGGTTGATGCCGATGATTGAATGATATGACTAGGACCTGAGATACATGTTGTAGATGAATTGGACTGTCTCATAATGAGCAATTATTGTACAAAATCAACATCCCTAACTCTACATAAGTTGCTCTGTATGTAATTACATATGTATGAGGCTAAATCACGTGCCCAGCCCTTATCACATAACCCAAATTTCCTAATTCGGCTAGCGGATATCGGTCTTCCGCATGTCTTGCCGTCAGAGAGCTTCATCACAGTCACCCAAAGACATTACAGCTCACTTCCCTTGATCACCGCAATATCTACACCTATAATTGAGGCCCCAGCATTGAAACACCCGGCCTTTTACTTTCCCCCTCCTCGGGAATCTGTTCCCACGCCCCCATTTGCCCGACAAACTCCCCTCCAACGCGCGAACCGACGTGTTTAACCCGACAGTCTCGTTGCCGACACCGTAACCATGGCGGCGCAAGCGGCGTTAATCGCCGATACCATCACCGGCATGAAGCGGGCCTTGCGCAGAGAGCGTGAAGGTAAGTTACCGATCAACAGTCTACATTTTCAAGCAGAATTATTTTCTGACGTCTTTCTTCACCAGATAATGGCCCGGACGACCCGATCATGGCACCGACAAACCGAGGGAACAAAATGCATGCTAATGCTAAGTATGTGAGCGAGGGTGCACTGGGCTACATCCACGCCGAGGATTACTACAAGCAGGTGCGTGGTTTGCTGATCTCGGACTTGAGCGCTGTGGTGATAAGATGGGACTGGAATTTCATGAAGACTGACTTTTGACCGGTGATTAGAGAGTCGAGCACGCTGGTTATACGCGCTACATTCTTCAGCCAAACCCGGTTCGCTATGATTCAGAGGGAGACGAGCTTGATGAGGATGATGAAGATTCCGAGGCTGATGCTGCGGCTGCTGAAGAGAACCCGTTCTCTGGGATTGCGCTTGAGAGTGAGCTTTTCCCTTCCTTTTCTGAGTACTGTCTGTGGCTTCATGACTGATCTGTGTCTTTTTTTCCCTTCTCTTTCTAGCTCTTCTGTGTCCCCTGAAGCATCCTTCCGAACTCGCTACCCATCCTTCCATGTCCCAAGCATACACATCGCAAGCCCTGGAGAACATGACAGCGGCAGTTGAGCACAAGCTCCGCCAGGAACGGGCTTTGCTCTGGCGCGCCAGAAGCCTGCATAGGCAATTCCTCGGTGATAGCAGTTGGATGCCGTGTGGTGCTCTCGAGACGCCTAATGATCACTTGATCTTCGACCCCAGGCTTGCTAGTAATGCCCCGAGTGTATATGCCGGCCAGCAGGGCGCAAGCGGGACTGCCACTCCGTCTGCCACTAAGGATCTCAATGCCCAGGATGCAGCACAAAATGTACCTGCACCAACAGCCACACAAGACCCCCAGCCAGCACTGAATGGGACAAAAGCCCAGGCCAGTTCAACGTCAAATGACGTGGAAATGACCGAGGTCCCAGCAGAAGGCGAACTCACCAAGAACGGCCTGCAACTCAAATCAGAAGAGACCGATGCCACTGTCAAAGATCTCCCACCTCACCCTAACACCTCCACTCCCGCCCAGGAGAGCAACAACGGCAATAATAACGCAGCCGGGGCGAGCGCAAAACCCCCCAACGGGAAACAATATATGGACACAACGAAAGACGCCGATCCAGTCGACACAACGGAACTCAACGATGACACAGAACAAGACCTCGAAATGCACGACGGCTCCTCACCAGAACCCCCACGGCGAATGACAACGCGCGCACAAGCCAACGCAGTCAACCCCGAAAATGAAAACGGCTCCCCACTCTCCGACACAGCATTCCCACTCCCAACCCCACACCCTCTCTTCCTCGTCCCGGACAACATCCGCCCCGACCCGAACTACGGTCTCCCTGCCTCCGAAGCCGAGGAAACCCGCCGTCTGCTCTGGTCGTATATTCAGAAGCAGGAAGAGACGGTGCGCGGGGTTGAGCACATGCTCGATTCGCTGAATAGATCTTGCCGCATGAAAGCTGATGTACTGGAGTGGTGTAAGGCCGAGGGACATGTTGGTGAGATGAGTGATGGAGAGGACTGGTATGACCGTGAGCAGTGGGGACTTGCCGAGGGTGAGGATTTGAAGAAGGGGACTGATGAGGATGAGGTTGAGACTGTTGACGAGAGTCGGACACAGGGAAAGAGGGGGAGAGGAAGGCGGCAGTGAGGGATGGGCTGTTGGCAGTTCTATTTCTTTCTCTTTGATCTTGGTCTGGCATTGTCATGTCCTGGTCTCTTGCTTGCTGGTGATATGAACCCTACATACTACCCTGTCTCTGTTCCTCTGGGCTCTTTGATTCATGTGGCGTCGGTATATACCCTCATTTCTATAATAAACATGTTTTTTGGTTACTATGTCTGCGTTTAACAAGAAACCCTTCATTTATCTGTAAAAAAAAAAAGATAACAACTGGAACGTCCATGGCCATTCCAGCAGGGCACGCAAGTCCACCTGGAGAGGGACAATACGTGCATGGTGAGTCTGTCCTTTTCCTGCCCATGACAACCTTGGAGATCACAACCACCCCGTTCATGTCTACAACTGCAGACATTTTGGTATTTGAGCAACGGGCATTGATACTCACTGTCACAACCAGGTATCTGTATTTCTTCCCCTGGCATGGTCGAGCAATATCCTCTATGGGGGAATGAGTTCGGTTTAAGCTATTAGATTGACAGTCAAAATGACAGTCAATTTCCGACTCTTCCTTTTGATTCTGTTTCTCATCCAGGACTTCCATACCAAGACTCGGCAAGAAGTTATCAATGGGTATGGCAAGTCGTGGTTATCACGGCCTCATTTGAGAGAGAGTTAATTCGTTCCAGGTCGGCTTAGACCTGCGCCTTCACAGTCAGGACACTGGTTTACTGGTCTTGAGGATATCGGCGCGGTCTTTGTCCAGTCTCAACAGTACTGGTCGAATCTTCTCGGCATATACTGTGACAACATGGACTGGCGAATGTTTTCACATTCAAATTTCTTCTGGGTTCATCTACCAGGAGCAGTAGATGTTGAACAAGTTAAATGGTTTGTATTCGAGTATTGGATGCGCTTCTTCTGTAGATATTTTCATCTCCCCAGTCGCAACTTCACTTGAAGCTCTTCTGTTTCAAGTGGGTTTCATATGCTTTTCCCTTCTCCTGCCTTTTCAATCTTCTCTTTTTTTTTCTTTTTTTCTTTCTTCTTCGTGGGGCACAGAAACACGAAATATCCCAGCCCTAGCTGAGCCATTGCTTGATCTCTTCATTTTCTCGTGGTATAGCAAAACTAACTACCCCGAGCATCCTGACCAGTCAATAGCTCCGGTGAAAGCAACTCGAGGGTAACCGGTAGAAGCAATTGACTGGTCCATTGATGTGCGAGCTCACCGAGCCTATGAAGGGTGTGTATCTAGCTAGGGTTTGTTGGTTCTCGTATGCACGCGAGCATTCGGATGCGTTTAGCAGATCTTCTTGTCTCACAATATTTGTCAAGTGATAAGAGAAGTTCGATCGAAAAACGGTTGAAAATGGTGATTGGTGAAGTGAATCACCGTGGATGATGTGTTTGTCAGGGCTAGTTCTGTACATCTTTCAAAGATCACCTTGAATCTCAAGTGGTTTTCCAGTACTCCCTGATTGCGTGTTTCCAGCAATCCTGTTTCTTGGGTCCTATACATCGTGTTCTTCCAGGGTGGCGCTGCTGTCTGGCTCAACAAGGCAAGTTTATGATTCCCACCAGTGGTTCTAGGCTGGCTCATCCTAGCCAATGCCTAGGATATCTGGTAATGACCGAGCTCAGCTCTGAGCATGCTGGCTTGTTGTTTATTCTATAGGCTGGGTCATCATGGCCGACGTCGATTTGAGGTCATCACAGACGAACCACAGCGCAGACCCACCCAATATGATCCTGGCCGCGAAGCTCTTCCTCGCACCTTTGGGGATAGGGAAGGGTGGTAATGATTCGCAGTGGAAAAATCACTGAAGACTTTTCTATTGATCGAGCGAAGGTCTCTAGGGTTGTGGTACGTGGAGCCGACGTCGTTCCGGAAACACCACAGGGGAATGCAAAGCACAAGGCAAACCCCCAGCGTGATCCTCGCCGTGAAAATCTTACTCTCACTCCAGAGTAGAGAAGGTAAGCGAGGGGTATCGGTAGTTCCTGATGAGCTTTATCACTCGAGTGTTTTCATAGGGCGAGGTGTGGAGGTTCTTGGTTTAGTCCGCCCCAAGGGATCGAAGAATGCCATGCCCCACACATTTGATAAGTTGAAAGTCTTTTGCATTTCATTTGGTCCTTGATTGCCTTTCTCGCTCAAGCTTTAGGTCCCAGCTGCCACCTAGGTAGCTAGTGCAATTGGCGACTGTAGTCATAGTTTGCTTCGTCGCAGTTGACTGGGCTGTTTCGCTGAAGTTCAAGCCTCATATATAGCTCTTTTTATTTTCGTAGAATCTGTACATATTAGCTTGGTTCATTTACGATATCTTCCCGGGGGAGCCTTTATTTCATCCTTACTTACTTGTGAGGGTAGATAGATAGAAGGTTGAGCCGACCATGCTTCACTTGGTTTGTGATATCAGTAATCCCAGGGACCAATATTAGCAAGATTCCGACAATTCGCACCCTGGCTCTTGCTTGGGTTATGCTGAAGCTTGATGCCTGGGGGGTTGATGACCGGAGAGAGGAAGAGAAGTTAGACGTGAATATATGGCCTCAAGAAATTACGAGGAGCCACTAATATCTCTCGAATATTTTTGTCGCATTGAGGAATTCACAATTAAAATGTGGCCGAGGCGAAGACACTGCGTAGTATAAAGCTCAGTCTTTTGGCCTAATAGATAGATAGTCTTCAGGATCATACTGTATCTTTATCACCTAAATCGTTGGTGAACCGATTACACATTTCTCGATGGTCGAAGCGTATGTAAACTATTAGGTTAAGAGAAATATGTACATCGAAATAACATAAAATGAAACATCGTAGATAGATATCCACTGGAGCATTATTTTGCGTAGATATCTCTCGCTTTGCTCTAGACCAGGTGAACCCTTCTACAGCTCCTTGTGCATCCTCGTCACAAATGAGCCACAGAGGTCTACTGATTCACAGTTGTACTGCAGTTTTGGCGCGATGGGTTGATTGAATTATATCTTTTGTAGTCGCGTAAGGGAAATCACAGGGGGGCCTTGTCCTGTTCTACTCATCCCCAGTATCAAGGACAAGGCCAAAGGTCTATCGTCTACAGGTCCAGCGTCGTTGAAGATTTGGGTGCGTCCGTGTGCTGGAAACTTGTCGCGGGCAACCCCAGACTTTTGGGTGCCTAGTTGTTTGGAGCAATCTGGCCTCTCTCTCTCTCGGCCTCTCTTTTGGTGTGCGGATTGTGGATGTTGAATGTCCCGGCCAATCCTGTTATACATTCAGGGCGCTTATTGCTTCTTGCCGCCCTGCTTCTTGGCACGCTCACGCTCACGCTTGGCGTAGATCTCAGCAGTGAAAGGACTAGAGACAGTTAGTTTAGTTCTAGGAGAGCTTCAAAAAATGACTACTTACTCTTCCCAGCCAAGAGCGAACCAGTACAGGACAAAGACCTGGGCGGTCAAAAGAATACCAGCAACCTTGCCGTGGTACAGAGCAACACCGAGGAAGTTCAAGGTGCTGCCCCAGTACATCGGTGAGCCAGTCACGTTGAAAGGGAACCCGGTGACGGGAGCGTCCATGAGAATACCGAAGTAGTCGCCAAGGTAGGTACCAGTCACGCCAAGAGCCCACATGCTGGAGAGAACCAGGACCGAGCCGATAGCAAACAAGACACCTCCAACGATCGGTTGGTGGACAGGAGCGTAGAAGGGTTGGTCAGCTAGAGCAAGTTGGTAGACATGGTCACGGAGAATTCCGAGCGAAAAGATGGTTACTGCAAGGAAATAGCAGCCATTGTACGCGCCTCCGAAGATGCGGGTCAAGAAGTGGTTGCGGTACTCTGTTCACCGGTTAGCCAAGGTCGAATGCAACAGTTCTCGGGTGGAGTCGGCACCTGCGCGGGCAACAATGCTAGAAAGTTTCAGGTTAGCTATGGTCCGACATAATCATTGCCATGGTAGTTTTATTAACCGTGATGGACACTCACTTCCAGAAAATTGGGTTAAAAGCAATTGTCGCGGCAGACCCTATTGGGGGTCAATCACATGCAAATTGTTGAGATGTAGAGAGAGACCAACTCACATAGTAAAGGTTTAGAGGAAAAATCGATAAAATCCGTAAGAGAGGCCATGGTGAAACTGAAACCCGATTTACTAAGAGTTGGGGAGGAAAAAGAAGAAGAAGAAGAGGGGAAAGATGGAGGTGACTGTTGGGCCCCGGATCAAACAGCTTAAGTAAACAAAAGTGACGTTCCTCCCCGGTCACGGGATGTTATCTCTTTGCTTGGCTTTTTTCATGCTTCTACAGCTGAGATCCACGTTATCTCTGACTTCTAGGGGCTTTGTACCATATATTGACTTCATCCTAGACACTTGATACCAAACGAGAGCTTCTCCGCACACCAGGCCCAGTTAACCCGTACGATGCCGAGCTGTTCGCTCCCAAGTTCCCGGGAGTGATCGTTATGAGCCGTGGAGATCTAACAAGAGTGTGGGGAGAATGGCCCTTAGTCGACGCGACCTAGTTCTGGCGGGCGTCGGCGTATTCATCGCTTGGGGTCTTGTGGTTCGCTGGCTGCCAATCCTCCGTTATCTAGGATATGCCGTGACGCTGGGCGCCGTCCTATCTTCGGTGGGTCTTTTAGGACTTGTCACATTGACAATCCGACACCAGAATGACAAAGTCAATACCAAGAACGTTTCAGTGGCTTTCATAAAGCCCAATCAATGGCCAAAGGAAGTGGTGAATGTCCGCCGGAGCTCGCGATACCGGCCCCGGCCACTCTACCCTCAGTCCTTTGTCGTATCGGAAGGGATTGACGAACTTCTGTCTTTCATCACCCGAGACTTTGTTTCCTCATGGTACCACAGTATCAGTCCAAACCCAACATTTGCCAATGAGATTGATCGAACGATTCGTGTCGCCCTTGAAAACCTCCGGGATAGGTTGGCTGCGGAGGACATGGTCTCGCTGATCGTATCGCGCATCTTTCCTATCATGACATCGCACCTCAAGGAATTTGATGTTGCCGAGCGTTCTGTGCGGGGGCGCAATCTCAGTCGAAATGTGACCGAGTCTGAAGAGCTTGATTTGGCCATTGCAAACAAATACCGTGAAGGTCGCTTACATCCTGCTGTTGCAACCTCTGCATCCGATCAAAAAACTGTCCAACAGGATTACTTGCGTAAGCTCGCAGTTGGCCTTTTACCCCAGCTATTTCCGGAAAGCGTGCTGAACAGTCGAATTGTGTCGGTTCTGATTCGCGAAATTATCTCGTGCGCTGTGCTTATTCCGATAGTCACTTCATTGTCAGATCCAGACACATGGAACCAGTTAATGGAAGCATATGGCCGTACAGCTTTGCAGGACCGAAAGACTGTACGCAAACTGCGCGCGGCTTTGGATCAGCATGCATCACCCGCACCCAAGTCCAAGCGTGGGCAACCATTCCCACGACTGTCAGCAACCGATTCAGAGCGAGCCTTTGAGCGTTTTGTGAGGGCAATTAGGAAATGTAATAACCTCTCCGACGCCCGTCGGTTCCGTGCCCTCGTTTCCAGTCAATTGAAGCAAGAGAGTGTCGTCGAGGGCCAGGATCAGGTCTATCTGAAGCGTCTAGAAACAGGGAAACGTGTTCTTGATCAGAAAGTGGCGAAACTTGCAAAACCTGGCGAGGACTCCCATGTACCTCCTGCACTAGACCTTCGACCCGAGATCCCATCTAGAACGCATGAAACGTCACTGGTTGACGTGATGCACAGCGCGTCTGGGCTTTCTTATTTCATGGAGTTTATGGATCGTCAAAAGCTGATGTCGCTTGTTCAATTCTGGATTGTTGTAGATGGACTCCGCAACCCACTCGAAGATGACTTTGGAGATGAGGCAGTGCCCACTTCATTAGCATGGAAACCAGCCGACCGAAATGACCTAGCTCTCATCAGTGAATCCTACCTCTCAAAGCCAGAGCTAAAGGTCTCTGAAGAGTCTCGCCGAACAGTCAAAACTTTCCTGAGTGCAGGAAAGCGTGCCACCCCAGAACAATACCGAAATGCGCGAATGGTGGTTTTGACAACCCAGTCTGCCATTCTAGAGCATCTCCAAGATACATATTATCCGAAATTCAAGGAATCTGATCTATACTGGAAGTATCTTGCGTCCGATGAAGCATCTGCTGCGCAGGCGCCAGTTCGTCAATCCTCTCCCATATCGGTTTCTTTTGAGACTCCCGAGAGACGACCTCTCCCCCATTTGCTATCACGAACCACCTCCCAACCTGGATTGAGACCATCCAAAGACCTTCGACGAGCCGCAGTCTCGTCTAGTGATATGCGGGGCATAGGAAAATTGTTTGATGATGATGATTCACCCCGACGATCAATAGATTCAGAACGGTCTGCTCAGCTTTTTGACGATGACTACGACACCGACAATCTTGCCACCTCCACCCATAGTTTGGGCAAGGATTCCCAGAATGGCGAGAATGATGCTAGCCAGAGCCAAAGCCAAGTCCTCGAGACGATGGAGGCAGCGCTCAATGATATCATTACCAATGAGCCGAAAAATGGAAGAATCGAAGACCTCAAAGGAGATGCTGGCGGTCTATTCGGACCGGAGCGTCCTGTTCGCTCGTCGCGCAGCTCGTCCGAAATTCCCCAGGCTGACAACAGGAATGAAAAAACCAAGAAGAGCATCGCATCGCTTGGTCTGGTGGATCATGCGTCGCGACTTGGGGTATTTGACGACGACTTATTTCCGGATCAACAGAAATTCATCGAAGATGAATACGAAGAACCAGACGGCGTGGACGAAAAAGACCCAGCAGATGAAGTGCACGAAGCTGCGCCGGGTGACTTGGGTCTAACGGAGGCGGTCGAGGCACTGTCGGTGGATATCGACAAGCTTGCAGCCCAGGACGCCGTGGTCCAAGCATTGACACGCAAAGCTGAACTGACAAACAATACGGCAGAACTGAGAATCCTGCGCAAATCCAAAGCCAGCATCCAGCGCGAAATGCACCGCAAGGAAATGCAGCGGCAGCAATACATTCTTCAGGAAAGCGATAACAGCCTGTTTGGGCGATCGACCGTTAGCCTCAAGTCTACCGTCGTGGGCAAAGATGAGCACGATGGCCGCGAATTCGCAATGTGTAAGAGAACTTTCTAAAGTACCGGTGGTTGTCTCAGGCTAACTGATTATCTTAGACGTCGTGGAGGTTCAAAGAAATGCCGGCGAACAAATGCCCGCTGCATCGTGGGTCATTGCACGCAGATACAGCGAGTTCCATGATCTGCATCAAAAGCTACGCCAACGCTATCCCTCCGTCCGGCACTTGGAATTCCCCCGGCGACGCGTCGTTATGAAGCTACAAAAAGAGTTTCTTCACAAACGGCGACTTGCTCTCGAGGCCTACCTGCAAAATCTCCTGCTCCTACCAGAGGTATGCCGCAGCCGCGATCTACGTGCATTCCTCTCCCAGCGTGCCATCCTGCCCCGTAAGGACAACGCCCGCGACAATGAAGGTGAAACCAAAGACCTTGTCACGCGCATCTACAACTCTGTCGCAGACGGTATGGATGACTTCCTCGGGAATTTCGGCGTCCTAGACCAACTATCTACCGCTGGCCAGAACCTCATCTCAGCCGCCACCCACCAAGCCAACAGTACGATAGCCCCAGACTCCAGCCTCGCAACCGAAGACGCCGTTACAGCCGCTGAAGCTGAAGCGGAACTAAACGCCTTCGAAGACCGCGAGGTCGAGCCATTCATCAAGCCCATCTGCGATCTCTTCCTCGAAGCCTTTGAGTTGAACCGTGGCAACAACTGGCTGCGCGGCCGTGCCGTCGTCGTCGTCCTACATCAGCTCCTTGGCGGAACGATAGAGCGCAAGGTCCGCGAAGGAGCGCGTGGCCTGGTACAGGATGACTCGCTTCTCAAGTACCTTTCTCTCGCTCGCGATACCCTTTGGCCCGGCGGCGTGCTCCGCAAAGCCCCTCCTCGTTCGGCGGCAGACCGTCTCAATAGTCGTGCCGAGGCTACTGTGGTCTTGGCTACCCTCATCCCGGATCTAGCAGGTAATGTCGTCGGTAGAGCTAATGCACAGGCTGCTGCCCGTCGCATCTTTGCTACGCTCAATAACCAACATTTGAACACTCATCTTGTTTTTACGATTCTTGACGAGATCGTCTTAGTTCTCTTTGGGAGTTCGGGTCGTCGATGAGAAGTGAATACCATGACCCTCACAGTGTACCCATTACTGTATATGCTTACCATATCTACATAATAAACCAAATCTGTTTAAATAGCCCTGCCAAGTAAATGATCTATCACGTGTAATAAGGCTCAATTGTGCCCTGGTAACAAAGAGCTGAGTTTCAAACAGTTCAGCTTCTCCCCCTGAATTCTTCTTCTCAATGACTTCTCTTCAAACCCCAACCCAATCTCGCGCCCTCTCCATCCCCGAAATCTTCGAACTAATCCTCCTCAACCTGGACATCCGCACCCTCCTCACAAAAGCAACTCGAATCTGTCACACTTGGTCCCATTTCATCAATTCCTCCCCACGCATCCAATGGACCCTATTCTTCCGACCCCTCGACAATGCATTGAATAAACCAAAGATCCAGAACCCATTGCTGGCAGAGACCTTCCCATCAATCTTCCATCAGTCCGGGTCTAGCAATGGAGGAAGTACTAAATATAACGATACCGATGTCGATACAGCAAATGAAGACACCACCTCTAATCTCACATTCACCACCTTCGACATGGTCCGGAATCCGCACAAGTGGGACGCATACATCAGACCAGAAGCCAGTTGGCGCCGTATGCTAGTCCAGCAGCCGCCCGTGTATACGGTGTCACTTCTGAGAAGTAATGTCGGTCATGGCGGACAGTATTTGTATATTTATGAGGCATTGGTGAGTGTCCAGCTTCTGTTTCTTTACATAATATATACATAATTATAACTACATACATAATGTATCCTTCCGGGGGGGGGGGAAGAACCCTAGCTGACATTCGTAATCTACCCCAAGGACGACCAAAAAGAACCAGCCGGTGGCCTGCGAATGGATATCGTCTTTGAAGCACTGGTCTTCGGTGATAGGTGGGATCAGGATGAATACTCCGCGACGAAGATGGTCTGGGGACGGGAACGCCTCCCTCAACAGGTTCGGGGGGACTTGGAGCTTTTTGGTATCCCGGATCTGGATTTGATGTTTTATACTTGGTTAGGAGAGACATCCAAGGGTCGTTATTATCAGGCAAGTTTGGAAGTGGAATGTGATGTTGCGAAGGAATGTGATGTGGTGAAGAATGTCAAGGCGGCGTATACTAGGCTGGACATGAAGCCGAAGTACTCGGATGAGAGTTTTTTGAGAGGACGGAAGACTTGGGGGTCACTGTGGGACTAGTTTGGAATTGGGGTATAGGGGATAGATATCTTTTCTCATAGATCTATATGGGGCATGCCCGGTATAGTGTGGCATGTCCACTTGGACTTCAGTCTCTAGGTGGGTTTCTAGATGTTAGATATTCCCATCTACATCTACCATTGGAGACAGCCTTCAGGAATTACTTGATTCGATCTCCACTAGGCGTCAGAAGGAGTGAACGGCACATACCGGTCCACCCAGGGTAGATACATAAGCCGAGCCAGATTGAAATGACTGAAATAAGATAGACAAGATAGAAAGCAAAATACGAAAATCTCCCTCGCGCCCTAATTCTTGTTTCTACGGAAAACGCAGTGAACACAGAACAGCGGGACTGTGGAAAAGCAGAAGAGAACAAAAGTCAAATCGCGTCTTGCAGAGGGGAGTCAATAGTCCCCCGTAAGAACATCCATTATGATGATTGGTAAGTGAAGGGATGAGAGAGCAGAAGAAATTGGGGAGGGCATCCGGGGACATTGGTCTGTGTTCACGTTGTGAACCAACCCGGGTTGGATGGCGCTCATGCCAATCTATGCCTCATCCTTGGACTTCTTCTTGTTCTTTTTGCTTGGCTGTGGTGCACCCTCCTTCTTCTGGTGCACGATCAACCGGGTCCAGCACTCTTCCTTGTCCCACTCAAAGCCCGCAAGGTAGGGTTTGTCAAGTTCGTCATCCGCCTAGCGGTGTCACGTCAGCCATCATGACCTTTTCTGTCTGTATAGAAACACTGACCTTCTTCTTGAACTGTTTGTAGATGGCATCTAACGCGTCCTTGATTGTGACGCCCTTGAGGTTCCGAGCGGTGACCTCTAGGCCGAGGGGGAAGTGTAGGTCAATCTTCTTGACGGGTGGGTTGACGAGGAACATTTTGAGGATGTCCTTGTCCTCGATGGTTGAAGGGGAGGTGTTGAGTTTCCTGGATTGCGGTCAGTGAGACTGATCTGTGTATGAGGAATTGAGATGAGGTACGGACCACCCAGTCTTCTGTGTTTCGATTGGTAGGGTCAAGTCCAGCTTTTGCCGTTCTGAACGGCTCTCAGTATGGTTTCCCCGATTGAATTGAGAGTACTTACCCAGATCGTTGATGTTCCAGATACCTTCAACCGTTGACGAGGTCCGCTTGTGGGTCTTGTGCTTGACCTCCTTCTCAATAGGCTCAGGTTTCTCATCGGATATGTCTAAGCCAGCGATGGCAGAATCAACTTTGGTTAAAGGAACAGACATGGTTGCAGGTGATCAAGATGAGAAATGGTTTGAGATGGGAGTAATATAGATGAATCAGGAGATGAATCAGGAGATGAATCAGGGAGGGAATCAGGAGATTGGAAGAGAAAGAGAGAGGGGAAATAGAACAGGTGACCAAGGTTGAGGGGGTACAATGTCATGGATGTCATGTTACTTGCCTTTTCATTCTACATATAACCATTACTAACCACTCACCACTCACCACCACTACTAACCATTACGAACCATTACGAACCATTACGAACCATTACTACTAACCACTACTAACCACTATTCACCACTGTTATACCATCCTCATTACCTATAAATATCAATATAAAATGAGCCCGGCCTCCCCGGACTTCAACGTCAATCTTAGCCTTAGTGCTGCACCCCGCATTTGTCTCCACTTAACGGCAGATCACGCTTATATTGGCTAGAATATTCTTATATCGCTTAGATGACCTATATGAGCTATATTAACGTATATTTCTCTCTCTATTATATGATTTTATCACTTGGATGACCTAAATATTAACGTCTCTTTGATCGATTTTATCACCTGATGATTACATCACACCACCTCCTATTATCATTTAACAAGGTGCATGGTGGCAACACCTGCAATATTAACCTTGAATTTTCCCTCTTTACAGCGTTATTAACCTTTCTTTCTCACATTATTACTTCATTCCCCGAAATATTCCCACTACAAGACATTCCTATGTCCAATCTCTTGGACTAGAAAGATATAAAGGCATTGAACACTCAAATTCAAATTCGTTGCACATATTTGACCATTTGACTAGAAATCCACTGAGAAAATGAGTAGAAGATTTTAGGCCCACTTAATGACTACACGTAGGGTATAAATAGACATTGGTATAGACATGATCATGCCAAGAAAACGAATTTCGAACTCAAGTCGTATTTTTTTAACCAGCTCTCTAGATGCCTCAAGTATGACCATTGAGTAAAGCCCCAGGATTGTCTGTCAAAATGATCTCCAAACGGATAACTGCAGTCCGGCAATGCTGCCTATTAGGCATGAGCTCTCGTGGCCTCCATGAACAGCTACATGGCTATAGTTTCTGTCTATAGGAGGGACTTACATATAAAGGGTCCAGTACACCAGAGTAATTCCAACCAAAATACAAAAGATAAAGTAAACTGAAAGAGCAATAAATTCGAGTGAAGTATAAAATCCACAAACACAAAGGCGGTGAGGTATATTTTCTGCCGGCGTCGCGCATCGCTTTCTGTCGAGCTACAATTATCATATCATCGACTTCCCTGTCTCTTCCTTCCTCCATTGGGCTCGACTTTTCCTTCTCTCCTGCATGACTCCTCAGCTGTGAATTCAGCTTTGCCTTTGTTTCTGTTTGCAATCTTTCAATCCCTCGATACCCCTTCGCCATATCACACCTCTCGCGCCCTTTCAAATGTCACTTTTCGGCGCCGGCGCGACGGCACCTGCGGCGGGCCAGACAAACACCACCGGCGACATTTCCAAGGACGTCGCCCTCAACACTCCCCCCGAGGATGGCATCTCGGATCTCCGCTTCTCGCCTACCAGCGAACACCTAGCCGTGTCCTCGTGGGATAAGAAAGTCCGCATCTACGAAATCAACGACCAGGGACAAAGTGAAGGAAAGGCACTCTTCGAGCACGAAGCTCCAGTGCTGAACTGCTGCTGGTCTCCAGTAAGCTCACATCCCATCTCCCCCTATCACTCCCATATTCCCCCCCACAACCCAAGTCCCATGCACAGAAACTAACCTTTTTTTTTTCTCCCTCTCTTCTAGGATGGAACCAAGGTCGTCGGTGCCGGTGCCGACAAGGCAGCCCGCATGCTCGATCTCGGCTCAGGCACGACAACCCAAGTTGCCGCGCACGATGCCCCCATCCGAAGCTGCCATATGATCCCCAATCCCTCCGTGGGCGGATCCCCACTCCTGATCACCGGCTCGTGGGACAAGACCGTGAAATACTGGGATCTGCGCCAGTCGACCGCAATCGCCTCCGTCGAGTGCCAGGAGCGTATCTACACCATGGACGTCAAGAACAAGTTGCTTGTCGTCGGCACCGCAGACCGTTACATCAATATCATCAACCTCGACCAGCCCACAAAGTTCTACAAGACCATGCAATCACCCCTCAAGTGGCAGACGCGGGTAGTCAGCTGCTTTTCCGATGCCTCGGGCTTCGCTGTCGGCTCCGTCGAGGGCCGCTGTGCTATCCAGTACGTCGAGGAGAAGGATTCCGCCTCGAACTTCTCCTTCAAGTGCCACCGTGAAACCCCGCCTGCGAACCGCGATGTCTGCAATATCTACTCCGTTAACTCCATCACTTTCCACCCAATCCACGGTACCTTCAGCACTGCCGGTGCCGACGGTACTTTCCACTTCTGGGATAAGGATGCGAAGCACCGTCTCAAGGGCTACCCCGCCGTCGGAGGCCCCATCACTGCTACCGCTTTTAACCGTACTGGAAATATCTTCGCTTACTCCGTTAGCTATGACTGGAGCAAGGGTTACTCTGCCAATACCCAGCAGTCTACCAACAAGGTCATGCTGCACCCTATCGGACCCGATGAGACAAAGCCCAGACCGAGCACGCGCAAGCGTTGATTTGGACCTGAGCTCTTTCTTTTCTTTTCTTTTTGCGTGGGATGGGGGGATTTCTTCGCCGATCGCTTTCGTGTCCCATGGCTACAACGAGCATGTAATGAAATTTTTACCATATCGGCGTGTTTTGATTAAGTGCAAATGGGATTTTCTTTTTTTTGCTAGCCTGGCTATGAAAATTTCTTGGAATGACCTTGAAGATGTAGTTCAGTATTGTGACAGTTCACTGTAGATAGAGATGCTAGAGCTGAATGGAATAGACGAGGCATACGGAGTACAAGATCAAGACATACTATTCTATCAGGCTATCGAAAACAAAACACCTTCATTGCATCCATGCGTATGATAGCTATAAAAAGCAGGTCCCTAAGATTCGAGTTCAATATGCCCAGAATATGATCCCCCGTTCGTGACCCGTGCACAACATCTCTCATACAGAACCATAAAAAGCAAGCCCCCAACAACGCGCCTTGCATGTATTTTTCTCATCTAGATCACCCTGTTGTGTCGAAGATCTTACGAGGTAGGCAGAGTAACCTGCGCCACTCCATCGGCAATCTTCTCAACAGCCTCATCATTCTTGCCCTCGGTAGTAACGGAGACCTTCTCTGCACCACCCTTAGCAGAACCCTCAACACCACCTTCAGGGGCACCAGCACGGCCCTTCTCCTTCTTCTCCTTCTTCTTGGCCTTCGCAGCAGCCTTCTTCGCGGCAAGCTTGGCAGCATCCTCCTCCTTCTTCTTCCGGTCCGCCTGCGACCCACCAAACATCTCACGCCACTCATCCGCCTTCTTGGGATCAATACGTGTGAACAGGTAAGCCGGCTTGCCGATCTTGTGACCCGCCTTCAGCGAGGTAGGCTTCCAGCCGGACTCGATATCTTCCAAACTGGGGATGTACTGGAAGGGTGCGTTCAGCTGTTCCAGAATCGACTTCGAGGTTGCCGGCATGTACGGCGAGAACACGCTGGACAGCAGATGGATCAGGTTGAGCACTGTACCAACAACGGCGGCAGCGCGCTCGGGCTCGTTCGCAATGAGCGCGTTATCGAGTCGGTTCGCTTGGATCAGTCCATTACCCGCCTCGGCGATGCGCATGGCAGTCTGCACTCCGGCGCGCAGGTGAGC